TATATATATATATATATATATATATATATATATATATCGAATGAGATTTATATATGTAGAGTAATAATGCATTTTGCGTGCGTTCTGTGTAATTGTGTTTTGCAGAATTATCGATATAAAACTCGTCGTTAGCAAATAAAATTATTCACACAGCTAATCCTCTTTTAGCACAGTGTCAAAATATATATTCTTTCTAATGACACTACATTTTTCAATATCCTTGTGTTTTTTTTATATATATTCATGAATTCTACATGAGAATTGCAAATTATGTTTAAAGGTAAAAATTCATATCATCAAATTTATGCAATATTTTAAGAGCGGATTATACTGTATCGCACTTTGTTTAAAAATATTATACTTTGCAAAAAACAGTCATTATTTAACGTATTGCATTATGTAGTATAAATAATTTTATTTTTCAATTTTTAATTTATTCTCATTATTATCATATATAATTAAATTATTTTTATTATATATAATTAAAAAATAAATATTAATTTATTTGATTATAATGTTATCAAAGAGAGTAAATTTTCTATTTGTTTGTTTAAGAGCTCTTTTAATTGGATCATTTGTATTAAAAAATTGTATCGCATTTTCTGTGGACAAGATGAGTTAGTTTGTCTTTTGTTATTTTTAAATAGGAGAGACATAGAACGTTTTTCAAGATATGACTTAGTTAACAAATTAATAATCGCATACTTGAGACTTACATAAAAGTGAATGAAAGAATATTATTTTAGAAGCCATTTTTACAGTTGCAATAAATAATAAGCTATATTTGTTTGTTTATAAATCAATTATAAAAATCATCCGCATCCGGCTGAAACGAATCCTGTTCTGCGTTTTGAAAAATAATTACGGAAGAGCTCCTCCGATATTAACATTGTCTCGGTTTATTCGCGCGTCGATAAACCAGAGCCCGTCTTTGCAGTTACTCCGGGGCGCGCCGCTATCGAGCTACCCCCCTTACCGTTCCCCTCTTAATCATATGACGTCATCGTACAACGCGCTTCTCCCATCGTTCGCCATCGCCACCTACGGCAGGTTGGTCGCCGCGAACGGCTACGTTGCAGTTTCAGTACGTTTGGTGCCGTTGCGAAGTGAGGTCACACGACATCGTCGTTTTACATGATTCGCGCTAGCGATATGGTCGCTCTTCGCGAAGCGTCGTGCGTCTCATCTCGCATCGCTTACTCCGATTTCGACGGCATCTGAATTTTAAACGCGATTTTTTTCATGAGTTTGTAGCGGTGAAGTTTTCTCGTGTGTCGTAGTGCATATCTTTGAAATTCGGTTTATCGCGTTCGGTGCTTCCTGGCGAAAAGTCAATGCGTGCATCTTTCTCCAGGCAATCGCAACGTGTTTTCGATCAATCCCTCGTCTTTTCGACAAATTGCTCTTGATTCTCAAGGATTGGTGATAATTCTGGAGCAACTGGGCGTCACTTGGAAAAATTGTGCATTTTTGACAATGTGTGTTGAGTAGATATATATTACGTCGCTGTCAGAAGAGCAGGAGTTTGTTAAATTTGGGGTTAGAATTGGAGATCATTTTCTGACATTAAAAAGTTTTTTTACTTGTGGATTGGAAGAGAGAGACATAATCATTGAAGTCACAAGAAGATCTGAATATTTTAAAGTTCCAAAGTCCAGGATTTCAGAAATATTGAAAGTTTAAGTTTTAATTATCTGAAAGTTCAAAGTTAACATATCTAACTTATCAAGATTTAAATCATTAAACATATCAGGATTTAAAGGTCCGAAATACAGTTAATTCTGCTAAAGGTTTAAAGTCAGAGTCAAAACTCTCAATAATGCCCCAATTTCGAGAATGGAAAATTTGGACATTTAAAATTCGAAAGAATCGGCAATTGTAATACTTTAGGATCTAATCTGAAGAAAGTAATTATCCGATTATCTAAAGTGGAATTTGAGGCATTCCAGAAGAGAGAGAGAGAGAGAGTCGTGAAACATTCCAGAAATTCAAAGATGAAACATTCGGTGATCTAAACAATAAAAAATTTGATATTTGGGTGTTCGGATTTTACAGTCATCGAAAAATCCACTTATTTCGTGAGCTTAATCAAAAGTAGAACATTTCGCTGGTTCAGCATCCACGCATTCTCGCAAAAGGCGCTTACTATCGTAAGCGAAAGTGAACGGAGAGGAGGCTACAACACGATCGAGAGTGAAACGGGTCTCCGCGCGGATAGGTGTTCGTTTGTGGACGAGGTAAAACGAGCCGTTCATATCATCCAGCATCCGGGCGGCTACTTTTCGCGTTAACAACGACGGGCAAGTGACACTTTGATATCTTGATTCCCCGATGCCTAGATCAACCCGTGGACGCTTGTAGATCAGGCAATCACGTCGATCTCTCGTTGAAAGACGGATAGGGCGATCACGGTGGGACTGATCGTTGAAGGAGCGATAAAACATGTCGAGGCTGTTGAAAGGAGAGCCGACGGGCGGTTGTGTGATTGGCTCGTGCGCGGATCGGGGATCGTATTAGCCCGACTGGCAGTGACGCATGTCGTAAGCCACGTGAGAGCGATAGAGAACGACGCGGTGGACGTCACGCAGGATCGGGATTCACGGAGAGAGAGAAAGAGAGAGAGCGAGAGTGAAAGAAAGAAAGAGATAGAGAGAGAGAGAGAAAGAGACTAATCGGAGCAAGAAGCAGGCCCGGCGACAAGCCTCCTATTTTGCCTACCGGAAGTCCCATATATGCCCATACACGCGCGTAAAACGGTAAATAATTGTAGATCTATATATATACACTATATATAACTATCGCTCAGATCTCATAGATATAAATTTTTATAGGTTTTTAATGTTTGCAAATACATGAAGTGTTTTAGGTTTTAATTCAAAGATTTTATACTTTTTTTCTTCGGTTTTCTGAATTTTTGATTTTAATAGAAATTTTTTATTTTGCAACTCTCAATTGTGATTAATTAATGAACTCGATAGATGTTGAATATGATGTTCAATAGACAAATTAACATATTCAACAATTGAATAAGGTTTTGAACATTTAATGAATTTATGAAACTACACAATTAACACAACAAAGCATTGGATTAATCGAGAAACATGGTAGCGTCAAATGTATATGTGTATAATAGTGCAATAACCTCGCGGGGTATTCATTGTCACTATCTCCGAGTTTCTCTCTCGGAAACTATTTTGTCTAATTATTTAACTATATATTTGACTAAATATTTTTGAACCTCGTATCACAGTATCGTAGATCATAGAACAATTTAACATTTTGGCTGTCTTGTTTATTAAAACTTGCGTATTATGAAAAATTTTTGCTTCTACTATTCAAATAAGTCAAAATATAAGAGAAACTCGTACTTCAAATTCAAGTTCAAGAGTATTAAAAAAATTTTGATAGAGAATCTTCAATGGGTCTTATCAAATTTTTGACTCGCGTAGAGTTCCGCGTGCATAATGCATTGAGAATCACTGCTTTATGTGGGACATCTTATATAATATATGATATCGATTATCTATGTCCGAGTTTGACTCCGCCATAGTAACTGCGGAATAAATTAAGCGTAGAATGGAAATTTTAATAATACGCCGGAAGCGGTGCCGGGCTGAGGAGCGGCTAACAGTTCGCCCGATAGGGAAGAATAACCTCGGTGGCGTGCGACAGACTTAGCGATGCGTGAAATTGGGTAAAAACGAATCGACGACGGCCAATCCGGCAGAAGCAGAATCATTCGTGAAACACGATGGATCTCACACGAGTTGCGCGGGTGACATTGGGATAAGGGGGTGGAGGGAATAACACGCTCGAGGGCGGAAAAGCGCAGAGGGGAATCATTCGCGAGGCTATAAATACGCTACCGGGTAGACGGAGATTGTACCGGATGGCGTAATTGAATTAGAGCAGAGACGAGCGCATAAAACCAGCTGGCATTCGCGGCTCTTCATTCACCATTGGAAACGTACTGATGACGCGGAACGCTTGCTGAATGCAGGTGCTGTGAAAAATTCGTAGTAAAAGTTTGAACGGAAGTCATGCGCTAAAAGAATGCGTGGAAAAATTATGCTGTCTTTTTAAAATCGTGGCAGGCACAATGATAACACGGGAAGACTTGTCTAAATATTTTTACATGCTTCCTAATGCTTCTATTCTTGGAGAATGTTTAAAGCATTCTGTTATCCTTTGTAGCTATGTATATTATTTATGCAGCATTTTTTATTTTTACAAAAAATTCTTGCACACAAACATTCTTCTAATCACATTAACGAAGTCAAATTGTTTCGTAATTATTCGCGGCCATTTTTTAATTACTTTATGTTCTTTTTCTTTTTCGAAGTAAAAGCGATTGAGAGAGAAGCGTGGTGCTAACAAGAACAAATATAAACCATATTTGCAATTGCTACATTTTTCAAGTCGAATGCGTCGAATCGCATCTGTAATAGCGCCAAATAATATTGCCTTTACATTATAAAATAACTGAAGACTAAGTTTCTTAAAATGTTATAAACTTTTTTCTCATTTCTATGTTATTTCTTTTTCAAAACTGTGTCGCTTGTTTAAGATGCGTTAATAACTGCTCGTGCGAATGTTTTAAGGAAAAAATTTAGGGATTATCTTTGAAAAATAAAATCTGCTCGTGTGCGAAATGGAGGTACATACATGGTGGCATGTATACGACATTGTCAAGCCCCTTGCAAAAACCAATAACCTCAGTGTACGTCGGGTACCAGTAGTTTATGGTCACTGAGTGTGCGCGTGTGAGAGAAAGAGGACAAGAGAAGGACAGAGAATAAGAGAGGGAAAGAGAGATGAATCAGAGGTGTAGTTGAAAATGCGGGTGAGAGAGATGAAACGAAAAAAAAAAGAAAGAAGGCACGGTGCCGTTCGACAAACGTAGGGAACATCGCTTAACCTTTGAACTTGTTTGTAACTACTGTAACGATCACCGAGTGATCGAAATCACGTTAAGACGAAACAGGCTGACAATTCGTAGAAATAAAGTTAGTTTGGCGTTTGTTTTGTTGAACTAATTTTTTGATAAATTTTAATTAGCCTGGTGAAATAGAATTTGTATATTATCCGTTATTGATCTCATTGTATAAATTATAGAAAACATATTTTTCTATCTGTGCTAGACGATAAATTCTTAATGCACATATATATTTTTCAATTAGAGCAAATTTTAAATTAATTCTGCACGAGTGTTATAAATCTGTTTGAATTATTTAGCTGGCCATGCTTGAAACAAAAAAGATTAGATTGTTTATAATATATAAACAAGCATTAAATCCTAGATAAATTAACTGATAACAGTAAAAATTAAAATTTTATCGGGATTATGTTCGACATGTAATTTAGTCCATTCAATTATTGAATTAATTTAGTATTGAAAGTAGAAAAGTTCCTGCAAATAATTACGCGTTAATAAATAACATTCTATGTCTTATATAGTTTCCAATTAATTTCATTATTTTAACGAAATAGAGAGAGTTGGAGTAACTGAAAGACTCACGCTTCTCGCTTTATTCTCGCCATTCTCGTTGTGGCTTATTTCCGTGGCATGATGCACGCGCGTAATGCATTTTCGGATTACACGGCATCCAGCCGAAATTTCCCAACCCTTCTGCCTTGTTTCTCCCTTCTCTCCGCCATCCTGCTCTTTCCGTACGCATGGGCACGCAGTTCTCGCCGCATTCGCACGTGCACGTGTATTGGCTAAAACGAACGGGCGACGTCTGTTTCCGCATTTTAATACTTCGCGCGGATCAATTTGGTTAAAATGACGCCACCCGCCGCTCACTGCGCGACGCTTTTTACATTTTTATTCGCGCTGTTGAAAGCCTATTTACGTTGTGCCGCCGAATATTTTGTCAATGGCTTTTAGGATGGATTAAATTAGCACAACTGGATTAGCACATTTTGTAAAATAACTCCAAAGTTTTTATTGGACTTTCCGAATTCCGCAGATTGAAGTTGCAACATTTTTAATTTTTCCGATAAAAAAAAAAAGACAGTCCTCGTATAGTATAGTACTGTATAGTGTTTTATAGTGTTTGGATTTGTAACTTATATGCTTTTACAGGCTTATTTTTATTTGTTAAGTTCTCTTGTAACGCTTGAAAAAGGAAAGAACTAAGTTAGCATTACATAATATAATTATTCAGAATATAAACTCCAAAACAATATTGAATATTTCAAAACGTATATGTTTTATGTATTATAAACAAAACAATCACTGTTTTGTGATAAAAAATCTTCAATATATGTTGAATTAATTAAAACATATAAAAACATTCATAAAAGCGCCGATATATTTGTTGTAACTCACATTAGATTTGGAAGAATTAAAACCTTTGATGTCTCGATATTTTGTCAAAAAATATTTAATCCAAATTAAAAAAGCGCAGCAATCTCGCTGACGGGAATCTATTTGGTACCATTCTGCCCGACAGCCTCGATGCGAAATCCATGGCGCGAGATCGGGGTCGCAATCAATTCGTTCCGTCTCCTGTGTCCTTGCGTAAAAGGATCATTCGTGGCCGAAGCGAGTTTATCGCGCCGCGGGCATCGCGAGACTGTAACGACTTAAATTTATATCCGCGTGTGAACTGCCGCAGCTCGCTCGTCCGCTTACTCAATGCGCGAGGCGTTAATATGATACTTGTTGATTCGCTGCAGCGGCCGTTTCGCGCTGTCCAGGTATTTCTGCGCTCTTATCCGGAGTTGAGTAACCAAACACGACCCAGATCCGATGATCCGTTTGATTGGATTTAGTTCTTAATTTGTTTAGTAGGATGCCTAAGTGCACGTTCAATCCTTTCAGCTTTCGCAACATAACGAGACTTTTCGGCGTACAATTCTATAATTTTTTTTATTAAGTTTTTCTTACGTGAGGAAATTAGACGGACAGACATTCTGAAAGTATCTTTTAGTTTTATTTATTAAATTCCTATTTATTATAATATTTAATAAGACAACAAAAAACTTAGCTGGCATTAAATAATTTAGTCATTCAATTTTATTATATGTGTATTGTGTCACGTTATTATTTAATTAAGCTTTAAAGTTCGAAAGTACCAACAATAAATCTTCTCTTTGTAGTGGTTTGTGAAATATCTTAAACGACTTTGTCTTCGTGATACTAAAGTTCCGTAGTGACACGCGATATGCCTTCCAAAGTTTGCGTTGATGGTAACAAGAGACGATGATTGTGACACGCTGTAATTCGATGTTGTTATCGAGATTATAGGAGCATTGCACTTCGAGAATAAGAATTCCAGCATAAATTTCTGTGCACCTGCGTTTTTTTTCCTAAGCAATAGACTTTTTCTTCTAATATTTTTCACACACAATTAAATTAGAACTACGGAATCGTAGGATTTAATGACTCAGAGGCCTAAAAGAATTCGTTTCACGATGCAGAAGGATAGGGCAGATTCAATGTCACAGATTTCTATGTCTGCGACAAATGAGAATCTTTGGATTCAATCCTTGTTTTCGCAGAAATTATCAAATTATTCCAACTCATATTGCAAATTTATGATCCCAGAAGGTGCCAGATGTTAATTGGAACGTCGTATAAAAGCAAGTTGCACCCACACACGGTTGTATCATCCATAAAGACATCTCGTGTATTTTCACGTGGGCGATGCGCAGCCACAACTGGCGCAGGACTAATTCCCAGAGACAAACACTTTAATTATAACCTTGCCGCGTACCTACGTGCTGTCATATTGTCGCATTCATTAAACGTGGCCGCTGTCGTTCGCCGCGCCCTGTTATTCCATTACTTTTGTACTGTAGAACTCCATTCAGGAAACCGTGGAGACTTTTTGCGGAAATCTCATTTGCCAAAAATTTCTTGGCGTATCCAACAATAAGCGCAGATAAATTACATCTTTCGTCAAGTCTCGAAGAGCTAATCAGAGTTAGCAACAGAATTTCTCTAGAAATGCTACTTTTAGATTCTTGATTTGATTTATTTCGCAGATTTCTAGCAATTTTCTTATTTTATGAACTAGCGATACAGACATTCTCCTCGTAAATAAATTCATTAAAACTTTTAGAATTAAAAACAAAGTGTATGGGATGCGAATCAGTTGAAAACCATTATCGTAAGCGTACGCAATTTTCTTCTAATTATTTGCCTTCCGTTGCGCCCATACGCTATTTTACGCGGGGCAGTAGTAACGCTATTGTTACGGCGCGAAACTGGATTGATGGAAATAATGGTGCAGGAGGAAAACAAAGAGAGCTCGGCCACGTCACTGTCGACCGCTATCAATTATTTTCAAATTACGAATTTTGCCGGCATATAGTACAATTGATTTATTCACGTCGTCGAGTACCGGCACCATTTATTTGCGACACATTATAGCGTCCATTCTGCACGCTACCATTTTTCTCGAGTCTTTCTATCAAAATTGAGCGATGGATTAAGAGAGATAAATCGAAATTTTTCTTTTGTTTTCCATGGAAATGCGTCCAATGCCGTAAATAGATGTATAATATATGTACACGCAGCTATTTCATTTTTAATCCAAAAAATCTCTTTTAAATTTCCGTTTATATTTATGCAAAATCCTTTTCTGTTATTAATTATTTCATTTTCACATTTATTATTTGCATAAATTTACTAAATTTTGCAAGCATATGTGTTACTAATGATCAAATCGTTCATCTGTATAACTGAGATAGATGAATATAATATTAAATAAAGGAGGAGGAAGTTATGTGTGCAATTATTGACATATTCTAGCATACAGCTTGCGAAGAAATCGAAATGGTGGAGCTGTGTGGCCAAGCTTCTTCGGCCATGGGGGTGATCGGCATTGGCTCGATGGTGTCCGCGGCGACGTCGTCGTCCTCTTCGTCGACTACCACGACCACAGGCGCCTCGTCCTCGGCGTCAGGACGCGCCGGCGTCCTCGAGACTCAAGTACGTGGTCAGTGGTATCGCGTGTTCGTCTCCTTGGAAGACGATTATCTCAGTATTTCGCTCGACGAGAGCTGCGAAACTGGCAATAACGTCCTCAATAATGGCAATATCAATAACAACAATGTGGACAGTCTAAACGATCCGGACGTGCCTGATTCGGTCGCAAATCAGAAGCGCGTCGTCCGCGTGGTCAAGAGCGATAACAACGGTCTCGGAATTTCGATTAAAGGCGGCAAGGAGAACAAAATGCCGATTCTAATCTCGAAGATCTTCAAGGGCATGGCGGCGGACGCCACGGAGCAGCTTTACGTCGGCGACGCTATTTTAGCGGTGAACGGCGAGGATCTACGCGAAGCCACGCACGACGAGGCGGTGAAGGCGCTGAAGAGAGCCGGCAAAGTCGTCGAGTTGGAAGGTAAGTGCTGCTATTGAGCGAAAGCGGTACACATATTGCCATCGAAATTTGTTGAAAAACGTCGCGATCACTGCGTGGCGCAGCATCGTCATTTATATTACACGAGCAGCATGCACTTTGTATTACACGCTGGCCATATTCAAGCGGGAAGTATGCAAGATACCAATTTCATTTGTGATGTATTGTTTCTCGACAAGCTCGCGCGAAAGTTTCATGGATCCGTTCCTCGGAAGATAGATGTACCAAGCGACACAAAACATTCTTGATGTATGCAACATTAAATTCCATGTCTTTATCCGCACTCTATTTCTGCCGTTTGTCATCCCGCGTGTACTGGAAAGGGTAAAAAGGGCTGAAGGAAGGAGCACGTTCGCAAGCGCTATCCAGGGCTTTTAGCTGGATTGGTGCATCGGGTGTGTGCAGCCGGCTAGAAAAAGTCGACTATTTTTTTTTCCCCCCTTTTTGTACTTGGTAGATCACCGTCCTGTGCCCTTTGCACCGGAAATCAAGAGGTCTGGAGATGCACCGAGAAAACTGCCGTTTTAAAAGTACATAATGTGAAGGACTGAAATATTAGATGGGAAGTTGGAAGAGTACACATTCTCCGGAGGTTCTCTAATAAAATAAGTTTAATTGGCTGTCATGTTTAAACAAAATTAGTTATCGCAAAAATTGCGAATAAAATTTGAAAGATTTTTTTGGATTTTTATTTTTGTGAATTCTTGAAATTCAGATCTGTAACAAATTAAATTTAAATTAGTTCATTTCTGAAAATCTCACTTGTACTTTTTTTTTGCATCTGATGAATTATATAGATTATATATTTCAGGTAATTAAAATATTAGATGTAAAGAAGTGCAGGTGACATTTTCAGAAATTTTATAGATATATCATCGTTTTCCATCGCTCCATGATTTCTCTTATTTTCGCTATGTATTATGTATCGATTACATAAAAAATATGGAGCCCAAATTATTGTTGTAAAAGTATTGTTATACGCGCACATTGTTTGGCACTTTCGCACGCTTTTTTCTCCACTTTTTCGTTACGTATGTCATTACTTCACCGCCTTTGTTTGCGACTATCGTTTGTTTCCACGCGAGTGCGGGATGGGAATATACGCGTTTCTCTGCATTTACTATTTAATGTTCTCGATGCGACGCACAACGCCATTGAGCCGTTACGCCTCGGGCCCTTCAACGTGTATCTGTGTGGTCCTCATATTTCGCTGTATGATTGTATGCGCGTTGACTGCATCGTTATTTTCTCGCGTCTCAAAAGCTAGAAAATGCCGCGACGGTTGTTACCGGGCTATTCCAATCCAAGATCTCCCTCCGCCTCCCTCCTTGTTCTCCGCGTCATTCGGCTTGCGGAAGGGCGCGACAAAAGGAATTCCGCTTCGGCGAATAGAGATCGCGTATACGTTCCGATCGAAAGAAGCACTTATCGGGCGCAGCAAATAATGAAGCGCTTTCAATCCCATTGAATCTTGAATGCTTCTATGAAGAGGCACTTTTCACTCCGATTTTATGCGGAGTGTTTAATGAGAAATACTCTTCGGTTGTCCCGTGGAATTATTTGTCTTGGAGAAGTTCATTAAGAAATTTACTAAAAGTACAGTGCCATTTTGCCTAATTAGTCAGCAAAATATTTATTTTAATTGTCATAATAGCTTGTGGCTGTCTAGAAATTATGAAAAGTTTTGACAAAAAATTAATTCTTATTTCCTAATTTATATTTCGCAATTCTTATATGATGTAATGTAACAACAACGGAGATAACGAAAATAATACTATCAATAATTTTAATCGGCTGAATGCGTATTTATTGAGTAGGTAAGGTAGTTAAACAGGAGTTTAGGTCGTGTGATTACGAAGAATTCGTAGGTAGGCGTGAAAGTCGTGATGACACTCTCGCGATACGATCCTCACAGAGCGTAATGTCCAGGTTCGCGTGACTTTTCCGCAACGGTTATCTGTTCGTTGTACGATAATCTCCGCGTTGAATCTAGGATATTCTGTCTGTGAGATATCGCATGTCCTTGATTATGGATCATCGCTTGATTATGAAACGCTTAAGTGCGCGCGCGCGTGTAATGTTCACGTGTGTTATGTTTGCGTAATCGTCGTGCACACATGAGGGAATTATTCGCGGCATGCTATATGAGATAAAAATAACGCATCTATATTTTATGTATGAATTAATATAATAGATACTTTTTTGTGATGCTCGTTTTGCGCATTAGCTAATGGCACTGTACTATGCGTCACGGGCGAAAGTACGCGCGACAATTTATCGTTGACAAGGTAATGCGTTTCCGCATTTGAAATTCCCATAAAATTCTGTGCGTAAAACGGATTTCGAAATAAACATATAACAATTGCATTTTTTTTTTTTAATTGAATCGAACTGACTTAAAACAGCTAACATTTTAATAAAGTTTTGAAAAATTGTGGAAAACTTTGTGGTAAAATAATTCCAAAGAAAAACATTGATATTGCAATTAAACAAATTGCAGAAATGTGGAAAAATTATTCGTACTGTATGAAAGTTGTGCGAAGTACTCAGGAAGATGAGTTGCCCTCTGATATAAAAATAGCAGCAAGCATTTATTCTGTTCGTTTTATGATTCCCCCGAAACCTATTCTACCCTTATGGCTTTCTTCTATAAACTATACATGCAACATTTTTATGGCGCATGGAAAAAAAAAAGATATTTCTACAGCTAAAGTATGTCTCGCCCTTCGGTGTTCTATGAGATATACTAAAGCTATATTCTAACTTCCGTCAGATATGGATACTTTAACACAAATTGAGAAAGCTGATAGTGTACTTATCAGCTTAATGTGATATGAGAGATACGAGAGTCAATTGGATATTTTGTTGCTTCTTAATTTCTTGTTGGAAAAACTTCTCTCCTCTTGATTGCCGTAAATAGACTGGTGTTGAGAAAAGTATAGATATTTTAATAAATATAATTTTACGTATATGCGTTAAAACATATTGTATAATAATAATGCAAAAGCTGACTGAAAATCCTAACATTCGTACGAAGTTGATTAGCAAAATTCAAATAATTACTCGTTGCTAGTAATCAATTAGCAGCGGATGCAAATTAGAGAGCGCTTGTTTTACAGCGCATGTTAATAATTAGCTCTTCTCCTCGTCATTAATTGCCTGGCAAACAAACGGCGATTCGCGCAAACAACGAGCCGGGGTCGATTGTAGCTGTCGAAAAACTGATTATGGAACGATTATGTAATGATAGTATATTCGCAATTGTTTGAAACTTTGATAGCGCGTTCGTGCGAAGTTAACTCGGTTATGCACTACATATCGGCGATACAAACGGCGAGCGTTACGTCGTTACGATAATTTATCCATGCGTTTCAAAATAACGTTTCGAAATGTCTCAAATGACGTTCTGCATTCATTATCGAGTATTATCGGTGAAATCTTGCAAGAATTTCTTGCATTGACATTTGAAGCAGATGAATTAACAATGACTCATTTTCTAGATTTACATTATATTTTAAGAGAATTCACAATTAAACATTCTAAAACTCAATATATTTTATACCGATCGTCTGTATATTGAATATTTAAATTAGATCGTGGCCAAATTATTCAACATGGATGAAATTTGTGTGAAGGAGAGGTCACCTTTAAATTAGTCAAAAACCCGGGGATGAAGATGAGTGTAATTTTCTCGTCCTATGCAAATTTTTAAGCTTGATATTTAGCGATTAACGTAACGGAGCTGGGTCCCCAAGAATTAAGCATTCCAAGGATGTCTGCGCTAGGTTTATACGATCCGCCGTATCTTATCGTTACTACCGCGACTTACCGCATTGAGAGCCCGAAGCAGCCGCGACAGGGCGACTTCCGCCGAAGCCGGGTCAAAGGCGTTCTTTGGCGGAGCATCCTTTTCCCGGCATCTCGCGACTGTCGACGAGAAAATTACAGGCGAAGTACACTCACGCGACGGAAACCGTAACGGGAGGAAGGAAGGAAGGAAGGAGACGAAAGCGGAGCGAGCAAGCGAGGCGCGCGCGATGTCGTCGTTCCTCATGCGGATACGCCGTAAATCATGACGAAGTACCGTAAAGGACGAAATGAAAGGCATGCGAGACACTGCGGGGCGATATATAAGACTCGCGAGAGAGGACGAGAGCGCGCAGCGCGCTCATGTCTTATATCTGAGTCAGTATAGCGTGTCAGTATAGTAAGTGTTGTATTCGAGCCACTCTAAAGGCGAATACAAGCCGCGTGAGGGAAGTTCCGCCGTCACATTCTCGCGATTCTTGCGAACCTATCCTTCTCACAACTTAACTCAACTTTTCGCGCCGTTGCGCATTTGACGTAAAATGTGGGTGCGCAATTAGCGCACTTGACGCAATAAGAAGTACTTGCAGCGACGCTATATAAGTAGGTGTTTATTCTTGCTGGTAGAACTTTATCATTATTTTCCATGTATCCATTTTATAAAACTACACTCGTGAAATTTAATTTTTCGAGTACTTCGAGTTGTGAATTCAAGTTGATTGGAAAAAATGTTTCTAATTTAAACACATAGATCAGTGCTCTTTAGTCAATATTTTTGCAGGAGATGCAAACTTCTCCGAGAACCGGTCTGACTTTATCGAAGAAAAATTTGTTTAGACTTTAGGATATTAATTTCATTTTCAATGCGTAGTATTTCTTAGCTGTTCAAAAATTGATTTAAGCAATAACGAGTTGCGCTACGAGTCGTTTTAAATTACAGCTACTGAGTTGCAGAAGTAAAATTGCTAAAGTATTGGCTAGCCAAAATTAGATTATGAAAATTATTGAGCATTTAGCGATGAAGCGAACGTGACGACAGTGATCGGTCTGCAGGCTAAGCGTGAATCGTTCGTATCGTCTGTAATTATTGTTAGACGGCTGCAATTGTAATACATAACGGTCGATGTTCGGCCGGAAGATATCGCGTTTTTGTAATTACCATTGTGGGGCCGTAC